GAGTCCAGACCCTCTGTACTAGAGTCCAGACCCTCTGTACTAGAGTCCAGACCCTCTGTACTAGAGTCCAGACCCTCTGTACTAGAGTCCAGACCCTCTGTACTAGAGTCCTACCACCTTTGCCTATGAGGCAGAAGTACTGCTTTAACGTGATWGCTGATAACCAACTTTGTAGAATGACTCATTGTTAAAACAAGCATTTGGAAGAAACCATGAATAAGTTGAACATGTTTCATAAAAGCAGCACTGTAAGTGTTCCTGTTTGTCAGGTTAGTTAAGTGGATCTCTGGACAGGTCGACCCTGCTCCTGGCTCTGGTCAGAAGGCCCCAGCAGGAAGCTGCAGGCTTCAGTTTAAACTCTCTTGCTTTTCCTTCACCTTCTCCCAAAAACCATTTTTGTATCTGCTTCTCTGATCAAAATGGAACCAGTTTTTTATTCTTGTTTATTTTCCTGATGTTTGTTAATGAACTCTCTGGTTAAATGATTTGATTGGCTGCATGGAATTGGTCGAACTGATTTCTTGCTCCTTACTTTTGATTTCCTGTTTATTGATTATTTGGGCTTCATAAACCTTCTTTAATGAGTTTGAATGGCTGTTTCCATCAAACCAATCAAGCTTCAGTTAGAGCTGAAGCAAACACCAGCCTTTCTGCATGGCTGCAGATTACTTAGAAAGATTTATAGTGAACAAAACACTTGAAAGTCTTGTTTGTTGTCCTCATGTCTTTGTTTTCTTCTGTGCAGCCCAAACCTATGTTTGATGAAATGTCTCCTGAGCTGACGGCGCTGCTAAAATCYGCCAGAGAACAAAATACCTTCAGAGAACACAACCTGATGAAGGTGCCCCTTCCTCCCTCCCATCTGAACCATTCCTCTTTTCCCCTCACTTTCATATTAAACACTCACTGAAAGCAAACTCTAGCTTTACACACTTCACCTGTAGAAATCCAGTTTGTTTACTAATCAACATATTTTTATTTGCTCAAAAAGAAAAAGCCATTCCTGAATCTCAGGTTGCAACAGATTTAAAATGAGTTGGAATCAAACATTTTTTTAGTTAGTATTAGTATTAGATACTAATAATAGGTTTAATTAGAACAGCATGTCAGAATGTGTAAAAAGGATGATTTGGCTCCATTTCCAGCTCAGTCTGAGTCTCAGAATCAAAAATGTTCTGAAGATGCAGTTTGACACCACGTGTCAGAACTCATCTGACTGTTGAGCATTTTTCACCATGAAGCTGAAGTTCTTCTCTCAGTCCAAASCCTGTTGAAGAAGAGGGGCGGAGCCTGATGGCTCCTGACCTGTCTGGGCAAAAAGAAATCCATACTGTAATTAGTAAAGTATTAATAAATATTCCAGTAAATACATGAAAATGACCAAGAAATAAAACAAAATRAATGTATAAAATAGCTTCTTCCTGTCTTGTCTTATGTCTAAATTTAAAATTCATAAAGTTACTGACCTGATCTGTTACGTCTCCCCAGCTGACTGCAGGCAGCTCTACTAGAAAACAAACTATTTTAGTCCTAACTCAGGACAGGGAGGGTTAGCTACACAAACTGTGACGTTTGGAGAGATGTTGAACAGCTTGGCTCAGTCAGAGTCCTGACCTGCCTGGATGAAGACGGCCATTTTTAATGTGAGTCCTAAAATCAGAACAGAGGACATGATGTGACTGAGAAAAGCACTCATTTAATCAAAAGGTAGATGGACAAAACYCTTTCTGCTCACAGAACAATTTCACAACAAATGGAAGGCAGTTTTTCTCYTTTTGCTTTTACTGAGAGAAATAGAAGCAAACTGAATTCAGACTATTGAATAAAACAAAYTTATTTGGCCAGAAGTTACAATAATCCTCTTCTGGTCTCAGAGCTACAGTCATACAACTCAGTTCTGGACTGATTTCTAGCTTTTATTCCCAGAAATGATTTGTGAAGAGCTGCCAGGTGAGTGCCCCCTCTGGTGGTGAAACAGGTTATTTCCTGACAGAGAAAACTCCGCCCCCTCATTTCAATATAAGGACATGAAAAAAATAAAAATAAATAAAAAGTTTAAATTAAAAGCCCCTTAAATGTGTAAAGTAGCTT